AACACCCCTCAAACCCCCCCTAAACACCCCCAACACCCCTCAGGCCCTTCAAACACCTCCCAACACCCCCTAAACACCCCCCTCTGTCTCTCTTCTCCCCCCCCCAGGTACATCGTGTTCGAGGGCGAGGAGGGGCAGGACGCGGGGGGGCTGTTGCGGGAGTGGTACATGATCATCTCGCGGGAGATGTTCAACCCCATGTACGCCCTGTTCCGCACCTCGCCGGGGGACAGGGTGACCTACACCATCAACCCTTCCTCCCACTGCAACCCCAACCACCTCAGCTACTTCAAGTTCGTGGGGCGCATCGTGGCCAAGGCCGTCTACGACAACCGGCTCCTTGAGTGTTACTTCACCCGCTCCTTCTATAAGCACATCCTGGGCAAGTCTGTCCGGTGAGAAAAGACACACACACGCGCTAAAAAACAACCAAAAAAGGGGGTACGGCGGGGGGGGGGACCTCCATGGGGGGTTGGAAGACCCTTAGTAGGCGTTGAACCATCATCAGGGGGTGTAGGATGTCCCCATGGGGTGCGGAACCACCTCTGGGGGGTGTTGAACCACCTCTGTGGGGTGTTGGAAGACCCTCACAGGGTGTTGCACCATCATTGGGGGTGTAGGATGTCTCTGTGGGGTGTTGAACCATCTCTGTGGGGTGTTGAACCATCATCCAGGGGGTGTAGGATGTTCCTGTGGGGTGTGGAACCACCTCCGTGGGGTGTTGGAAGACCCTCAGTGGGTGTTGAACCATCAACAGGGGGTGTAGGATGTCCCTGTGCGGTGTGGAACCACCTCTGGGGGGTGTTGAACCACCTCTGGGGGGTGTTGAACCACCTCCGTGGGGTGTTGGACCACCTCTGTGGGGTGTTGGAAGACCCTCAGTGGGTGTTGAACCATCATCAGGGGGTGTAGGATGTTCCTGTGGGGTGTGGAACCACCTCTGGGGGGTGTTGGAAGACCCTCACCGGGTGTTGAACCATCATGAGAGGGTGTAGGATGTCTCCGTGGGGTGTGGAACCACCTCTGGGGGGTGTTGAACCACCTCTGTGGGGTGTTAACCATCTCCGTGGGGTGTTAACCACCTCTGTGGGGTGTTGAACCACCTCCGCGGGGTGTTGAACCATCATCAGGGGTTGTAGGATGTCCCCGTGGGGTGTTGAACCATCTCTGTGGGGTGTTGAACCACCTCCACGGGGTGTTGAATCACCTTCATGGGGTGTTGAACCACCTTTGTGGGGTGCTGGACCACCTCTGTGGGGTGTTAACCACCTCCGTGGGGTGTTGGAAGATCGTCACCAGGTGTTGAACCATCATCAGGGGGTGTAGGATGTCTCCATGGGGTGTTGAACCACCTCTGTGGGGTGTTGGAAGACCCTCAGTGGGTGTTGAACCATCATCGGGGGGTGTAGGATGTCCCTGTAGGGTGTGGAACCACCTCTGGGGGGTGTTGAACCACCTCCGTGGGGTGTGGACCCATCATCCAGGGGGTGTTGGAAGACCCTCAGTGGGTGTTGAACCATCATCAGGGGGTGTAGGATGTCCCCATGGGGTGTTGAAACACCTCCATGGGGTGTTGGAAGACCCTCAGTGGGTGTGGAACCATCATCGGGGGGTGTAGGATGTCCCTGTAGGGTGTGGAACCACCTCTGGGGGGTGTTGAAACACCTCCGTGGGCTGAGGAACCACCTCATGGGGTGTTTGATCCCCTTTTTGGGGTGTTGACGCCCAGTTTTGGGGTTCTAACCCCCCTTTTGGGGGTTCTACCCCCCCTTTTTGGGGGTTCTGAACGTCCTGGTGCGGTGTAGAACCCCCTCTTTGGGCTGAGGAACCACATCACGGGGTGTTTGACCCCCTTTTTGGGGTTTTGAACCCTAGTTTTGGGGCACTGACCCCCAGTTTTGGGGTTCTAACCCCCCCTTTTGGGTTCTAACCCCCCTTTTTTGTGGTTCTACCCCCCTTTTTTGGGGTTCTACCCCCACTTTTGGAGTTTCTGAACCTCCCAGTGGGTTGTAGAACCCCCTCCTTGGGGTGAGGAACCACCTCACGGGGTGTTTGACCCCCTTTTTGGGGTTTTGAACCCTAGTTTTGGGGCACTGACCCCCAGTTTTGGGGCACTGACCCCCAGTTTTGGGGTTCTAACCCCCCCTTTTGGGTTCTAACCCCCCTTTTTTGTGGTTCTACCCCCCTTTTTTGGGGTTCTACCCCCCCTTTTTGGGGGTCCTGAACCTCCTGGTGGGTTGTAGAACCTCCTCCTTGGGGTGAGGAACCACCTCACGGGGTGTTTGACCCCCTTTTTGGGGTGTTGAACCCTAGTTTTGGGGTGCTGACCCCCAGTTTTGGGGCGCTGACCACCTCTTTTGGGTTCTAAACCCCCGTTTTGGGGATTCTACCCCCCTTTTTTGGGGTTCTACCCCCACTTTTGGAGTTTCTGAACCTCCCAGTGGGTTGTAGAACCCCCTCCTTGGGGTGAGGAACCACCTCACGGGGTGTTTGACCCCCTTTTTGGGGTTTTGAACCCTAGTTTTGGGGCACTGACCCCCAGTTTTGGGGCACTGACCCCCAGTTTTGGGGTTCTAACCCCCCCTTTTGGGTTCTAACCCCCCTTTTTTGTGGTTCTACCCCCCTTTTTTGGGGTTCTACCCCCCCTTTTTGGGGGTCCTGAACCTCCTGGTGGGTTGTAGAACCTCCTCCTTGGGGTGAGGAACCACCTCACGGGGTGTTTGACCCCCTTTTTGGGGTGTTGAACCCTAGTTTTGGGGCGCTGACCCCCTCTTTTGGGTTCTAACCCCCCCTTTTTGGGGTTCTACCCCCCTTTTTTGGGGTTCTACCCCCCCTTTTCGGGGGTTCTGAACCTCCCAATGGGGTGTAGAACCCCCTCTTTGGGATGAGGAACCACCTCACGGGGTGTTTGACCCCCTTTTTGGGGTGTTGAACCCTAGTTTTGGGGCGCTGACCCCCTCTTTTGGGTTCTAACCCCCCCTTTTTGGGGTTCTACCCCCCTTTTTTGGGGTTCTACCCCCCTTTTTGGGGTTCTACCCCCCCTTTTCGGGGGTTCTGAACCTCCCAATGGGGTGTAGAACCCCCTCTTTGGGATGAGGAACCACCTCACGGGGTGTTTGACCCCCTTTTTGGGGTGTTGAACCCTAGTATTGGGGCGCTGACCCCCAGTTTTGGGGCGCTGACCCCCTCTTTTGGGTTCTAACCCCCCCTTTTTGTGGTTCTACCCCCCTTTTTGGGGGTTCTACCCCCCCTTTTGGGGATTCTGAACCTCCCAGTGGGTTGTAGAACCCCATCTTTGGGGTGAGGAACCACCTCACGGGGTGTTTGACCCCCTTGTTGGGGTGTGAAACCCTAGTTTGGGGGTGCTGATCCCCAGGTTTGGGGTTCTAACCCCCCCTTTTTGTGGTTCTACCCCCCTTTTGGGGGTTCTACCCCCCCTTTTCAGGGGTCCTGAACCTCCCAGTGGGTTGTAGAACCCCATCTTTGGGGTGAGGAACCACCTCACGGGGTGTTTGACCCCCTTTTTGGGGTGTTGAACCCTAGTTTTGGGGCACTGACCCACAGTTTTGGGGTTCTAACCCCCCTTTTTGTGGTTCTACCCCCCTTTTTGGGGTGTTAAACCCTAGTTTTGGGGTGCTGATCCCCAGGTTTGGGGTTCTAACCCCCCCTTTTTGTGGTTCTACCCCCCTTTTTTGGGGTTCTAACCCCCCTTTTTGGGGTTCTACCCCCCTTTTTGGGGGTTCTGAACCTCCCAGTGGGTTGTAGAACCCCCTTCTGGTGGTGAAGAACCACCTCACGGGGTATTTGACCCCCTTTTTGGGGTGCTGAACCCTAGTTTTGGGGCACTGACCCCCAGTTTTGGGGTTCTAACCCCCTCTTTTGGGTTCTAACCCCCCATTTTGGGGGCTCTGACCCCCCCTTTTTTGTTTGGGGGTGCAGGTACACGGACATGGAGAGCGAGGACTACCACTTCTACCAGGGCTTGGTCTACCTGTTGGAGAACGACGTCTCCACCCTGGGCTATGACCTCACCTTCAGCACCGAGGTGACTGTCACCCCCCCCGGCATTGTCACCTCCCCCCACGTTGTCACCTCCCCCCTCTGGGGTGACAGGGGACACCCCGAGGACAAGGGACACCCCCCAAGACACACACCCCCACCCCAACATCTCCCTGGGGTTCCACCAACGCTGCTCCTGGGGGTGTCACCTCTGTCCTTGGGGTGTCCCCTTTGTCCTTGGGGTGTCCCCTCTGTCCTGGGGGTGTCCCCGAATCCCTGGGGGTGTCCCCACGTCCCTGGGGGTGTCACCTGGCCTGGGGGTGTCCCCTCTGTCCTTGGGGTGTCCCCAACTCCCTGGGGGTGTCCCCAAGTACCTGGGGGTGTCACCTCTGTCCTTGGGGGTGTCCCCTTTGTCCTTAGGGTGTCCCCTCTGTCCTTGGGGTGTCCCCAAGTCCATGGAGGTGTCCCCAAGTCCATGGGGGTGTCCCCTCTGTCCTTGGGGTGTCACCTCTGTCCTTGGGGTGTCACCTCTGTCCTGGGGGTGTCCCCAACTCCCTGGGGGTGTCCCCTCTGTCCTTGGGGTGTCCCCAAGTCCCTGGGGGTGTCCCCTCTGTCCTGGGGGTGTCCCCAAGTCCTTGGGGTGTCACATCCTTGGGGTGTCCTTGAGTCCCTGGGGGTGTCCCCTGTGTCCTTGGGGTGTCCCCTCTGTTCTTGGGGTGTCCCCAAGTCCCTGGGGGTGTCCCCAAGTCCCTTGGGGTGGCCCCAAGTCCTTGGGGGTGTCACCTCTGTCCTTGGGGTGTCCCCAAGTTCCTGTGGGGGTGTCACCTCTGTCCTTGGGGGGGTCACCTCTCCTGGGGGTGTCCCCAAATCCGTTGGGGTGTCCCCTCTGCCCAGGGGGTGTCCCAGGAGTGTCCCCTCTGTCCCAGCACATCCTCCTGGTTTGGGGGTGTTCCCCTGCGCCCCAGAGACATCCCCCCTCTCCTGGGGGTGTCCCCTCTGTCCTTGGGGTGTCCCCTCTCTCTGGGATGTCCCCGGTGACCCCCCCCTGTGTCCCCCCCCCCCCCCCCCCGCGCCGG